TGGGAAAAGCACAGTAGTCAATCTTTTACAAAGATTTTATGACGTCCAAGAAGGTTCAATTGTATGTACTTTGCTATATCACCCGCGAAATCCCTCTTCAAGAATTTTCTTCCAGAGTGTTGATGGAAGAAATATTTTAACCATGAATGCACAACATCTACGCGATAACATAGCGTTAGTTGAACAGGAACCCGTGCTTTTCGAAGGTAAGTTCTGTTTTTGCCTCTGAAATATTGACTTCCCGAAGGTGATAACTAGTGATAAAGAAAAATAAAAATGAGATGGTCGCGTAGCTGACGTTTTCGATGGTTTCTGAATGCAGTAGGCAAAGGTTGATCAACCTGATATTCAGCTTTATGGGATTTGCTGTGGGATTGCTTGTAAATTACGAATCCCGTTTCCCAAACGAACTGTGGCTTCCATTTTCGAATCGAGCGACCACGAGGTGCTGTGCAGAACGTGATGTGAGCATAACTCAATGGATTTTCGACGGACCTGTTTCGCTCCCAGTGGAATTTTGTAATCTAAAATTGGCCTGACATATCTGCTTAAATTTTTGCATCTTCATTCAAAGGCACTGTTCAATTTTAGGGTATCTGGTTTTCGACGGTTGATGAATGTAAGTCTAGAGTAGCGCAAAGGCAACGAAGTAAACAAATGCGAAAAACGGCATATTTACAAACACACAGAGTTTCAAAAAAGTAGTGAAATAGGGGTTGGACGAGACTGTGATGGAATCCAACAGTAAAATAATTTCATCCCTTCCCATTGAGAGTCCCCTCACCACTCGGCGACCGGTGTTTCGATGCTGAACGTGGAGGTCCTGCGCGAATAAGGCGCCTTGTATCCCCTCGGCAACTCTCCTGACAACTCTTCCGTTGGTCGTGGACGAATCCGGTGATGTAGTTCTTATATGTTCTTTCTATTGAGTTTTCCGGCCAGACAGCGTCATTTGTGTTACCCTTGGGGGCCACTGGGTAATCCTATCCTAGGAGGACGAAATCTTAGAAACCATCTTTATCGTGTAATTGTCTCATGCCACATTCCGAATAATTTCAGGGACGATTCTTGAAAACGTGCTGTTAGGTACTGATAAATATACGGAGGATGATGCTATCAAAGCTTGCCGCCTGGCTAATGCGTCACAATTCATCGAAAAGCTACCAGAGGTATGATAGGAGATAGCTCGTGCAGCTATAATTTCAATTATTATGTTAACTCCNTCATGCCACATTCCGAATAATTTCAGGGACGATTCTTGAAAACGTACTGCTAGGTACTGATAAATATACGGAGGATGATGCTATTAAAGCTTGTCGCCTGGCTAATGCGTCTCAATTCATCGAAAAGCTACCAGAGGTATGATAGGAGATAGCTCGTGCAGCTATAATTTCAATTATTATGTTAACTCCCGGTTCAGAGTTACGACACAAATGTTGGTGAGAAGGGACGGTTGCTGTCAGGAGGTCAGAAACAACGCATTGTCATCGCTCGGGCGCTGGTGCGCAAACCAAAAATCCTTCTACTGGATGAGGCCACAAGTGCCCTTGACGCCCAGAGTGAGCAGGTAAGGATTCTCTATGGCGTCGTGGAGCATCTCTAGTGAACCAGCTTGGAATAAGTCAATTTTCAGGTAGTTCAGCAAGCACTGGAGAACGCGAAACGAGGCCGTACTGTAATCAGCGTCGCTCATCGCTTAAGCAGTGTGCAACACTATGATCGGTAGGTGTGACTGCTGCTTTCTACTAAAGTTTATACATACTTCAGTAGATTTTGTTTTGCCCATGCCTGCTATGAGTAGAGTCACCGCTATAGGCTGAATTAGCAATAAATAGAAAAATGGAAGATGAGGTCATAAAAACCTGTCTTTTTCAGGATACTATACATTGAAAATGGAGTAGTAGCAGAGAGTGGAACTCACTCTGAACTCATCAAACTGGACGGAAAATATGCGGCACTCGTTAGAAGCCAAGATACGAAGGCACCCAATTGAAAAAAGCGCTCTATGTATACGTTGTCAGCAATTTGGTCTCACTTTTGAGTGCAATTTCTACTGGGTCTGAATACATCACATCGAGGAGCAATAAAAATTTGTATGACGCATTTCTTGCATCTATGCAGCGGACATAAGGTATGAAATGATTTTGTGTAAGTTATACCAATGGTGGGCGGAGGTGGTGTAGTGGCAAATGATGCACTATATCACACGCATGATCACAGGCTCGAATGTAGGACCGATATCCTCCTAGGTCAGTCAAGCCTCCCATTATACCGGGGTCGCTTAAATGGTACCAGACCCGCCTGGGAGGACAAGAAGCACTGACCTGTACATCGACTGGCAACCGCAAATCATTGTAAAGGTCACATACGCGTTCATTACGCCACTACGATTCTGAATGGAAGTTGAGTGCGGGTTCATATCCCTTCGACCGGATTGAACAGCTCCAAATAACTATCCTTTATCCTTTTTATCAGTGGAGTAATCGTTTGCACGGTCCCACTGATTCAGAGACGTATTTCATGGGGTAGATTTGGAGATAACGTACGCACTGCTTATGATGTGGTGAGCGGAACTCAAGTGTAAAAGGAGTTTAGTGTCTGATCAGTAAAGTAAAAGCGAGCGAGGACTACTTTGCGAAACAGGGTCATAACTTTAGGACATCAAGCTAGGTAGACGAAAAGCATGCGAGGAAGTGGATTTTCTGGAGACACTTTCGCTTGTTGACACTCTCCATTCGGTTTTTGTCATTACCAGTTGGATTGCCCGGCTCACGCCAAGCTCTCTTTCGATTTGAGCTTCCGAAAAGATTAAACTTCTCCTGAGTTCGTTGATGTGGAAGCCTATTTATAGCTAAGCGTCTTGATTTTGTATACTTTGAATATCACCTACTAGATGTTGTTGCCGAAGATTAATAAAATCTATATCAAGGAACAAAAGAGTAGTTGCCCACGATTCTTTTTGTTCTCATACATTCGCGTCCACCCCAAAAATTGTGAAGGTAAGTTGGTGATCGGACGAATTTTGTTTGCAGCTGATATCGAAGAGGAAAAAGAATGGTGGTAGTTAAATTTCAAAAATTGGGTGTGGAACTGACTGCCATATACCAGGCGTAATGGCTAGAAAAAGAGGCGTCTATATTCTCACAACTGGAAAAATTTATCTGTTATCACAGCTGTGAAGGTCACAAGAGGATGTAGGTAGCAGTTTCACGTTGTCTCCATGGCAAGTTCACCCTTGGGCTCGGGCCTTGCTCACTGACCACTGCACGGAAACGAGTTTTTCCCCCTTCTGGACCGTTTCTCATCACTCTTTCCTCAGATCGATGCCCACGATATCGATAACGACATTTCAGCTCGTCTAACATGTTCCGTGTGCACTAGGCGAACTTATGTTTATCTACTCAACGATAGAATATCCTGGTTGTCGCCGAGTCACACATGGCTCCATCATCATGTCTATGTCTTGAGGAAGAGTTCAGTGATTAGAAGTACCACGTAACTAGCCGGCCCACTGGACGCAGTTGCTTTCCAGAACAGCTTCGTAGACAAAGTTTTGCATCTTTCCCAAAGGGATAACTTCTACAACATGCCAGAATGTAAGTCGAGTTCGAAACGCACTCCAAAACAAGATTGATGAAGAGTTTTTAGCGTTTTTCTTTAACAACCGTTTCATTCAATCCGGCTTTTCTAAACCTTGTTGCTCCAACTCCCTATCCCCTGGGGAGCCGCAAAGACACCGTCATGGTGCGTAATAAGAGTCCATAAAGCGGCTAGGCCGCCCTACATGCACGAAGCAGGACGAGTTTTCACGGTGTTGTATAATAGAAGCTGTGGGGATTCATCATTCGCACCGGGGGGCACCTGTTGGACGCAGGCTGCTCATTGTGATCAGTGAGCTGTCCTCGTCCAACGCGTGCGTCCTGGAGATGATGCACTGTATACAATGGCCCAAACATTTGGGCAGCTTGTCCATAAACCCTTTTCAACTTTTGTAGTTACATTCTTACTGAACCCCTAATTTTACTACTCAATTTTTGGATACGCCTCTTTGCGCCTTTTCTTTGCCACTTTTGCACTATTGGATGATCACTTTCATCAGACGTCTGAAACAGATACACAAGGTTTACCATAATTGTTTCTTCGAGTGAATAATGAAAAATTGGTTGGCTATGGCTTTCGCGATGCTGGTGCAGAATCATATTGGCTGGCTGTGAATGAGCTTTTACTGGCACAAGTTGATGGGAGCGATTTTGTTCAGGAGTTGATTCATTTCGTTTTTGGTATCCCTTTCATTTTATTGGTTACTATTGTCTCACCAACCAACATCGCACAATTTCTCCCGCACATGCACCACATTGTACTGAACAAACTTGGATGATCATGCTCTTTATCATAAATTTCTTTGAGAAAAATAATTTATAGGAACATTTAGTATCTGGGTGGGCATGGGCAGTAAGCAGCGTCGTTTCCTGGACGCGCCGGGTTTCCACGAGCTCCAGGATTACCATTTCTTCCGGGCTGTCCTCGTCCGCCAGGTTGTCCAGCTGGACCAGGTCGGCCAGCGTTTCCAGGAGCTCCAGCTCTTCCAGGACCTCCTGCTCGGCCCGGAGCTCCAATATCTCCAGCTGGTCCGGGTCTTCCAGGAGTACCTCTTCCAGTAGTGCCAGGTCTTCCAGGCTGTCCAGGCGATCCAGCGGATCCTGGTCTTCCTGGTGCTCCGGCGTCTCCTGGAGGACCAGGGGGACCCGGTCTACCAGCATTACCAGGACCTCCGGGACGTCCTGGATTTCCATTGGGTCCTCTATTTCCAGGAGCTCCACTTGGTCCTGGCGGCCCTCGAGGACCAGCTGGACACTGAATGCAATCTCTGCTCGGTCCTGGGCAGTTGATGGGAGCGTAGGTGGAAGTAGCATCATTACCTGGACGTCCGGGTGCTCCAGGCTGTCCTGAAAATAATAAATTATTTCAAGGAAGTAAAAGTGTAAGACGTGAACGAACCTGGTGCTCCAGGTCGTCCTGGAGGCCCGGGTGGACCGGGTGGGCAATTTGCTCGTGGAGGAGTGCACTGGCAGAATGAAGGAAGACCTGCCTGCCTCTTTCCACGGAAAATAGATTTGAAGGGGTTCTCACGGGGTTTGGATGGAGGGGCGACGGCCACTTGATAATCCATCATTTGGCTCCATGCTGCATCGGTTTCAGCACGGAACACGGTGACACCTTCAAGAACCTGGTCATGCATCTCATTGATAGTGTTGTAGAGAGAAGGGACCACGATCAGGCAGGCTGCAATGGCCAGAGTAGAGAAGGCCGAAGCCACCCCGATGAGAAGCTTCTCTTCAAACATGATGCTGTCGATGGGTAATCTCATCTACTTTTTATACGCTAACACTCGCTCTCATTAAACGGTTGTGTTTGTGTTTGACCGACTGACCTTGCCTAATTGGAACGTCGGCAGTTACCGAAAAGATTAAGTTCCTGACATATCCAGGTCACATTAGTTCATAATGAAAGTCGTTGTAGGATCGGGTCGATAGTTGGGCGAGTGTTGATATGCCGTTGGCGCTGTAGGTTGACTTTTCCTCCGCTTGAAGTCCAAAGTGTTTCCAAACAAAGGTCAGCTAAGGAGGGGAAAAGCCATTTGCGTCTTCTTCACTTCCTTCTACTGGTTAGTGACTGGTAGAGTATACTAAGTATAGTAGTTATTAAACTTAAAGTTAAAGTTATTAAACTGCAACTTGCTCTGTGTTTTGTGTGCTATTCGATAAAACATTCACTTATGTGTAAACCGAATTATAGACTTTTAGAACTAATGAATGGTTTTCTAATGAAACAGCAACAGAGACAAGAAGTGTTTGAACGGCAGCTCCTAAAGAGTGGGAGTCTGTTGGAATCACATACCTCAAATAAGAGTTCTACCTTATATTTTTGCAAAACTACAAACAACTAGCACTTTCATGATGGTTTGTTCACCGCGTAGTTGCTTTGTATCTCTATCTTCCTCAAGTAAGGCTATTTTGTACTTTTATACAGTATTTCCCCCACCGGCGCAGAGAATTCGCTAGAGGGGCACCCGTAACAATGTTTTCGATTCGCAGCTTTCATCGCAAAGAAGGTCCCTGGCTAAATATTATCGGTAGCGAGAGATATCACAGTCTGAAGTCCGTACTATCAGTACCCCTGATAAACCCGTCCTAATTTCTCAATCAACTACCTGTATCCCTTGCCAAGCTGAAACAATTCAAGTGGTTGCTCTACTGCAGAAGAGATTACAAGTGATGTTTCGATTAAACAATGAATCGATAACAGCAGTTATATGTAATTTCGTCGAAATTGCCTTGGCGAAAGAGACATCCATGCTCTAATCTATACTGCATTAGCGTAACCAGTAACATGCCAGAGCCTCCTTCAGGGTGTGCTCCTAAATGTTGCCAATTCAGTTTGCGTTGCATTTTCCATGCTCACATCTATTTACCGTAACCATGGAAAGATTCACGAACGGACAGACATGCAGCCAAATATAAACAATAGATCGGCAGATCGACGAACCAACCAGCACACTAAGTTAATGTTTGTATAGGAAACGCTACTAACGAAGATCGAAGTCCACCCAAGTACGTTACATAATCCTAAGATTCAGCGTTATCAAACGATTACTGGTTGCATGACTGTGTTTTAACGGATCTCCTCACTCTTCGTATCAATATTGTTCCTTCCTGCCAGGAGGGAGGAAAGTCTTAGCTATTCCTAAAAAAACATACATATATGTGGCAGCTTAGCAGTCTGGATCCATGATTCAAGGACAGGGATACCTGTTAGCAGACTTTTCGAACTCTTCGCCCTGTGGAAGCCTTTGATGTAGTATCTGTGTTCTTCTTCAAAGCCACTAGAAATATACCCAAGCCAGTGGACGTTAGTTCACCTCGATTTCCCTCGGCCAGCGACAGTAGATCCGTGGCGACTGCCGTAACCTTCCACTGACCAGTGAGAACCACATGGCGCGGGTAGCACAACTTCTCCCCGAACTCCCACGACCAGCGGCAGTGATTCCGTGACGACTGCCGTATCCTTCCACTGAGAATTTATATTTTTCCCTTCATAGCGTGCGAGTGCGGCGAGCGTGACACGCCGCTCAGGCAGAAGATACCAGACCATGAGCGCGGCGTGAGTTTCAACGAGCAGTTCCCACAACCCTCTTTTCGTTTTTTTGTTTAGAACGTCTCCACATCGATATCACTTTGCAAGTAGATTAGGTACGAGTACGAGATTCAGTAACGCTCAAGGCCTTTATTGATTCGCTATCATTGAATAATTAAAAACCAGTCCGCAAGGCTAACGCCGGGCTTTTCTCTTTCTTTGACAAAGTTGTAGTAATCGCTAACACTGCACTCCTTCTTCAATACAAGTAATATTTTCCTGTACGTGAAGTTTGAAGCAGGACTAACAGGGCAGTGCAAGTGGTATTTACTCTAGTGTACTCACGCCTTAAATTGGAAGTCGCGATCTTCTGTTCTCTTTCTTAAAAATGAATACCCAATAACGATCCAACTATTAGGTGACCAAAGCTAAATTGGAAGTCGCGATCTTCTGTTCTCTTTCTTAAAAATGAATACCCAATAACGATCCAACTATTAGGTGACCAAAGCCTTGAGCAGCAGTCACAAATGTTACGAATAATGATAACACCATTATCAGATGTCGTTATCAATGAAACTTTTTTAAGGACATACCATTCGTTGAGAATTCCAAGCTACTGGCGGTTAGTTAAGTTTCTCGAAAATTACATCGAACAAGTAGGGTCCTTCATTGAAACACAGTCCTTGCTGGGTAGCCACTGCAATCTTGTAGCAAGAAATGAACAAAATCCTCATGTGCTTATCGTATTGCCGCTAATGGGTCCCTATCACTGCACTTGCCACTCACTTTTGTCACCTACCCTACCATCCCGCCTTATCGAATGAAACATACCGAACGGTCAAAGCTACATCTTAAATT